ATTGTTAGATATATAAGTAAGACATGTTTTATTGATTGAAACATCGAGAAGAATGTTCAATATGTTAGTTTTAAATGGAAATATAGAACTCTTTATTTAAAAGAAATTGAAATATAAATTTTGATTTTTATTCATGTTACAATTTTGTGAATTTATTGAATTTCGTTTCGAATATTGATAGATATACATTGCATTTAACTTATTCATTTAGAAAAGTAAATATTCATTCAGTTTTGATATAATATTATCAATAGACTTGTTTTTTTTTTACAAGGACATCAATACAAGATTCCTTCGAACTTATAGAAGTCAAGTAGCTTCTCATTTGTTAAATTTGTTGAACTGTTAATTAATCTCAAATAGAATAAACTTTTTTCTTCCTTCATTCTATGATTAATCTATATCGGTTATGAAGATGAGATTTTATAAATAGAAATCTGAAAGAATAATTTACTCTATAAGTCAAAACATATCCTGTTTCTCTATTGATATATCACTTATGCATTCAAGTTGACACTGAAAACATTGTGTATAATTATTAACTAGATTTTTCAATTCTCTTCAATATGAAATAAACTTATTAGCTAACTATAATAAGTATTTAACAAAAATCATCTTCTGAGTTTGTTCTATCAGTTTTATTCATAAGCAGAAAAGATTTATTCATGATATTAATAAGACAAATTCATTTGCCATCATATTTAATCAACATTGATTCAGCAATGTTCAGACTTCCAAAAAAGGAAATTACTGAAATTTTAGAAGTAATACCTCTAAAAGCTCCGTTGTCTCAAAAAATTTGGTAATTTCTGAAATTTCCAAAATTTTCATAACTTGTACTTGCGGAAATTTCCACAATTTCCTTTTTTGGAAATCCGAACATACTTCCCGCTTTGATTTATTTTTTAAATATCCCATGATTTTAAATGTTTTACATTAAAATGCAATACTTGCTTAAGATGTTGTAATTTATATCATTCAGATTGTTATTATCATTGCATATAATATTCGTATGTTATACTCTAACAAGTTATAACTATTGGCATATTGAAAATACAAAGAATTTTTTTAACTTAAGTAACACAAGTACTAATTGTTCGCATTTTATTTGAATAAAAACAAAATAAGAAATAGAATATTTAAGAAATTTTAAGACACGTAAAATCTATTTTCGTTCTATCTTAACATAAATATATTATGATTTTTATTACATATAATAGTATGTAGCTAAGTTTCTCTGTAATTAAAATTAATTGGATTTCATGATGTTTTTCAAGAATCTTTAACGTTTTCTATTTGTAGTAAAATTAATAATTAAGACGTAATTTGATCATTATGATGACATTCTTTATCATAATTGATAATAACAGACAGTTTTATTAATAATATAGTAGGCTGAGACAATGAAGAAGATTGACACAATGTGTATTAGTTCATATAGAAAACGATCTAGATAACTCATTTATTACATACTTCTTTGTGTAAGAATTGATTTCTCGATGTCATTCCTAGTTTGGTTTGAAATAATAGCAGCATGCATAACGTAAATTAATATTATATTTTGTTTTATTCATATTTTATTATTGTATTTAGTTATGGTTTGGGTTTTATTGGTAATATACTATCATTAATTATATTCTTTTCACAAGAAGAATTTCGACATGTTTCAACTGGTGTATTATTTATTCTTATGACTTTATCAAATAATATTCATTTATGGACATTAATAACAGAATTTCTTGCTGTATTTAATATTTATGTTTATTCAGGTGTAGTTTTACGATGTCGATTAAATTATTTTATACAAAATCTTAGTCGAACAATGAGTACTTATTTAGCTGTTACTATTGCATTAGATCGATTAATTCGTTCAGAATTACCAATGCGTTCAAGAATAATTTGTACACGTCAAAATGTTCTTAAATTAACTTTAGTTTATTTAATTATTTTTTCTATTCTTTATTCATTTTGGTTTTGTCCAATGATTACATTGAATCCTATAACGAACACATGTTATAGTGGTCAATCACCAATATTTAGTGATTTTATTGGTAATATTTATTTACCAGTTCGATTAATTATTGTTTGTATTATTCCAGTTATTATTATGAGTTTAGCAAATATTCGTATGTTATTTAATATACGACAATCTCGTCGACGTGTTGATCCAAGAAATCAAATCGATAATACAAATATTCCTGCAGTAAGTACTAGTATAATAACAAATGGACGAATGACACCAATTGATCGAATGTTATTTTATATGATGTTAATTAGTGTTGGTACATTTGTTGTAACACAAATTCCATTTAATATTTATTCACTCGTACGAGCTAATTATGAAACATTAGATATGTATACTCATTTATTAGTTCGTGCAATACTTTTAATTTGGTCAAGTATTTATTTTGGTATTGGATTTTATTTATATTGTTTGGCATCACCACTTTTTCGTGAAAAATTCATTCGTGTGACTAAAAAACTAATTACTTTTATATGTAGACTTCGTCCAGCATGAGTAAAAAAGAATTATAAACTAAAAATTTATGTTTATTGTAAAAGAAAAAAAAATCTATATTTTATTCAATTGTATATTCATTTTAATAAATACATAGTGTTACAAGTAGAACGATTTAATTATTGTTTAAGCAATGGTATGTAGTATGACTAGGGGGGAACTGTGCGGTGGTGCAGTGATACCCACGGACACGATCATTCGTTCGATTATGTTTTGATAGATCGACTTTTGGAAGATTTTTTATAGATTAAAACTTTTAGTGAACAATACATTGTCTTTTAGAAATGTAAAGACCCAAAAAAAAGAAAATAACATTCATATTGATGCATTTAGGTTTATTTTTTATGTTTTGAATTAACGAAATACTGATCCAATAGATTATATATTTGTTTTATTCAAATGTTTTGTTATATACTATAATCGATGAACAGAGCAACTATTCATCTTATTTATACATGCATGGTATCGTTTTCGTATTCCATTTTTCTTAATTTAACATTATTATTATTATTATTATTCTAACTATTGATTTAACTTACAAATAAATTTGCTGTACATATCCATTATATATCTCGATAGGCTGACAAACACTAATATTGATTATTTCTAAAAGTTATAAATTGATCATTTTACACTTTTTTATATTGATCATTTGACATCTTTGCATTTGAAGATTAGATTTAAATTTGCTTTTGAACTAAATCTACATAAATATTTTGAAATTTGATGACTGTTATCGAAACACAACATATTTATATTATTTTTGTCCAAGGCTAAATCCAAATACTAAGAACTTAATCTCAAGTTCCAAAGTCTTTTTCTGGTTGTACCGAACCACTAGTAAAGTAGATCATTAGGTCGTCTTTTTTTGTTAAATTTATATTCGGATTGATGGATTACTACTAAAAGTGGCTGACCGTTATTTCAAGTGATGAAATTTAAATTATCATTGATGGCACTAATGCTTGTCAGCTTTGTATTTATCTTTTAAACCCAATTTTCATTACGTGTGTTTGTTTTTTTTGTTTTTGATGACAAAATGAATTTCAAAAAAGTTTAGTAGAACTTTTATTTGTTTTTCTTAACTATATTAAATACAATTCATTTTATGGACATGAACTACAGAGTTTTTTTTAATGTTTATATGGAATCTATATTTATTATAGTTCATTCAAAAATATTCATACACTCGAGAAGAATTCATAGTTGTCGAAATGTAATTAAATTAACTTATATTTATTCTCTTCGTTGGTTATTTTGGTTTTGTCTATTAATTGATCGAAATCCTAAAATGGAAAAGTTCTATTATAAAAATATTCAGCTATATTTTTGTCTTCTTATGATGAATATTCATATTCCTTTACGAATGATTTTAGTTTATATTCATCGATCTCTTCAATGTATTACTATAAGCATCTATAGCGATTTTTCTCCGATTTTCATAAAAACCTACGATTGATCTACAACTTTTTTAAAATCATGAATAACTCTATTCAATTTTTTTTTAAATAAAAGAATCGCCAAGGAGTCTCTTAAAAACTTTCCGAAGACTCAAGATAGGAATCGTTTAGGAATTTAGTACGAAAATTATGCCTATTTCAGACTTTCGAATAGAACGTCATTTATTGGTGTATTCTCATGAGCTTCTCAGAAACGCATACGTGCCAAAACTGAAAGTTAGATTCAACTATTCAATAGCTAAATGACACGGAAACACTCAAGCATGTCTCTCGATGTGGGTGTCGCGAAAACAATAGTTGAATATCTATTTTTTCCTTCCCGTAAATATAATGTATATTGTAAAATCATATTTACTGACGAAACTGATGTCTGGATTTCATCTAAATATAAAAGAATGTTATTTATTTTTTAAAATGACATATTTACTGTTAAATTTATTATGGATTAAAATAGTTTCTCTAATAAAATAAGACGGATTATACAAGACGTAGAAAAAAATAAAAAATAAAATGGTCATGTTTGTTTTGTTTATTAGTTGAAAATAATCGGATAGTAAATATTCAGTCTAAAATTTCTATCAGATATCATGCTATGAAAATAGTAAAAATATTTTTTTAAAATCAAAATTTAGTTTTTCTTGCTTTCAGAAATAAAAACTATACGAATAATTTTTATGTTGTTGTTGTTGTTCTTGAAATATCGTGATTAATCATCAAAACCTATGCAACTTTTGATAACATGAGGTGTTTATTGATGTTAGCTGATTTAATATTACATAAATTTCATATCATGTTTATATTATATAGTACGAATACACATGAAAACCTTTGATTATTTTAATAATAGTTTAATTCGTGTATTGCTTTTAATTTGATCGAGTACTCATTTCGGTATTACGCCTTCATTTTGTCACAATTTTTTTTTTATCACTCTTGAAAAAATTGTTGTATTATAGAAGATATTAATTTAAATAAATAAATAATTTAGTATTTTAAAGGCTTTCTATTATGTTCATAAAAATGAGAATGAAATGATCTATTGAAAACAAATGTCTTTTTTTTTTAAATAGAAATGAATTATTCAGAAGATGACATAAAAAATGTAGCATCTCTAACAAATATAAAAGAATATTTATGGTATTATTTAATATGAAATTTTATTATTCAAATTTATTCTTAATATTGTCTTTTGTATTTACTAATAAATTTGAAATTATTTTAACATAATCTTTCAAAAAAGGATTAATAAGTAATAATCATAAGTAAAATCTATTTGTCATTCTTTCCCTGACAATTAGACAGTTACACGTCACTAGAATAGTCCTAAAATAGCTAAATACTTCATCGATAACTATATGAATCCTTAAAAATACGATGAAAAAATTTCTTATTAACAAAAGAAGCTCATCAAAGTTCGATGAATGTCATCAAGGTTCTAACTATCACAGTTTGTATGACGTATTTTCTTTCAAATTTAATAATATCTCTTTCTTTACATTGTTTTGTGAAATATGTTCAATAAGAAAGAAAAATTTATTTTTAGAATAAATATATTTTTTATAAGCACTCTTCACATTAGGAGTAGAAAATATATTCAAAAGAAAAATATGTATTCTAGAAAAATTTAATTAGAACATCTGCGCGTACGGATATGTAGGCATGTCCGAGAATAAAAGAAGGCACCATCGTAGAATCATCGAAGTAGAAATTGAAAAAACACATTATTAGAAAATTCTTTTGACTATACGAAGTAAGAAACAAGAAAAAAAAAGAGTAATAAATCTCATTAGAAAATGAAATAGGTAGGACAAATTGCATGTTAGAAATAGATCGAATAATAAACTTGTTGCTCTCTGTGTAAAAGATTAAGGACATTTTATACGAGTAGTTTCTTTATCTATATGTTAGAAATATTTTATATATCCAGACCGAATAGAACGATTCGAAAACGGTGAAAAATAACTTTCATTCTGCTTATCGCCTACGTTTTTCCAACCATCGATTTTCGAGTTGTTTTCGCATGAAATCATCTTATAAATATCATTAAATATTTTCTCATGATGATTAGTAGATAAGTCTTAATGATTTTATATACCGAGTTCGATCAATGTCTAGTATTTCATGGAAGTGTTTTACTGAGGTGAAACTGCATTTTACTTTGTTTTTTTCTTCTGTTAATATCAGATCTCAATTAACTTTTTGTTGAGATCTATTCAACGATATGATGTACTCTCTAGAAAAACGTCTGTGTCTTGTCACATGATGATTGATATGATATTAATATTCAGTTATTGCGTATAAGGAAGGTACCGCTAGCGCAAAAATCGAGTACAAATTAAAATTCGCCGAACTATATATCAATCGATGAAACTTTCGAAGCTGGTTAATAATATATAATTTTTAGTTTTTTAAATCCTGTGTCAAACCAAAAATTCAAGGAAAACTTAGTTCTTCAATAAAGACCAAAAAATAGCAATTTTTCATGAAGATTACGGATTATTCTTCGCTGAAACTACTTTATTTGAATTCAGCATAAAAAAACTGTAGCAGCTACATGACTTTGACGAAATTTGATCGTTGTAGTGTGATTTGGCTAGTTTATCAACATTCACTGTCGACCAGACTAACTCATCCAGCGTGTAAACCTATCTCCTATTTTTATAATAAGAGCTAAAATTGATTCTCACACAGTTTTCGAACCATCAAGTGATAGAGAAAAAAGTTACGTATGCTTGTAATCGGGTGTTTTAGTGTTTTTTAAGAGAATCCACTTTTTCGATAACCTTAGGAAAAGATGGAAACAAGGTCTAAAAATGAAGTCATATTTTCAAATTTCATTTGCAACAAATTTATTTTATAGTAAATAAATATGATATTCAGAATCAACTTAAAAGGTTACGTCGAACAAACAATACTTTATCAAAAAAATATTATTGCTCGAAGTATGGCCTCTATTCCCTTCAGGGCAATATGAAGCAAAATCATGGCTGAGGTGGACCACAGGCGAGAATTTGAGGAATAATATTTTTTGATAAAGTATAGTTTGTTCGACATAACTTTTTAAGTTGATTCTGAATATCATATTTATTTACTATAAAATCAGTTTGTTGGAAATGAAATTTGTGTGGGTAAGTTCCATAAATCATTGAATCTATTCTTTTGTGTTCTAGATGCTTAGTAGGATGTTTATCCAAGTTCTAATGATGTTGCTGTCGTAGTAGTGCAATAACAGTTCATAAACGTTTAATAACGACCATAGAGAGTTAGTTGTTCAAAAAATACATTCTTGAAATTATAGTTCCTTTTTTTTTATTAGTGAACTACTTTATCTAAAAAATATTTAAAGGTACTTTCACAAACAATGAGTATGATTATTGGATCTGTGCGTGCACCTTTTGCATATATGTACTCTGAAAATAGGTTATAATGATGAATTCGAATATAGGAATGATATTTATGCAATGAAATCCTTCGTATAATAATATAAAATATAAGCAGGATGTCACTGAGAGTGCAATTCATGTAATGAAAGTAAGTCGT